TATCTATCATTTGCAATATTTTTTTGAAACATGATGGTTTTACATTCATGCACATTGTTAATGTAATGTGTATTATTTCATATTTTCATTTCTCCAGTGCAATATCTCAATATAATTCATTATCATGTGTAGAATTATGACTACATGTGCAATATTTTCCGTTCATGTACAACACTGTTAATGTAATGTGCAATATTTCCTTTTTATCTCATTTTTCAGGTGCAATACATCATCATGTGCGATATTTCTTATATATTCAGTATAATGGCTATCATCACTTTTCACTCTTCTTATTTTTGGCTTACTTATTTTATTTCAGTAATGCATCATGCTTGCGTCTTATTGCTTTTCCTACTTTTTAGGTGCTGCCTTATCTTATCCCTGCTACTTGTGCAACTTTTCCCACCACCCTTTCCCCTTCCAGTCAACTTTCCATTAACATGCTTCGAGGCAGCACTCTGCCAACAGCCAGCCTTTTCAGTAATGACCTTCTGTGGCTCCTTGCGGAGGGAGTCGATGATCATCTTCTGGACAACATTCAAGTCAGCAGTCTTCCCCATGATTGTGGTTGCATGCACTGAACTAAACCTAAAGCTGCAATGCTATTTACTCACACTGGCCACTTTATGAGGTCCACCTGATAAAATCTAGTGCAACAGCTCGGCCGTATTCTGCTTTTATGAAGCTTCTGTATGTTAATGTTTTGTTAAATCTGTCATAAAGATGATAATTCTGCTTATAGTTATGACTGAGGTCAGAGCACATGGTGGGTGTGCATTGCACTGCATTAAAGTGTTCTGAATATTTTGTCCACGTTCGCATAAACGAGCAGGGCAATATATTAGCAACACTTTTAAAAGTATTGCAGTCCAGTTCACCACCCACTATGACCTCAGGAATAAACCTAAAGTAGAATTATCTCGCTTTAACGTCAGCCAAAACTGAAAAAGTAGAAGTTTTGCAGCAGTCAAATGTATGGCGGAGCCGTCGTGTTGTATTGCATTCGATTTCACAGCAGTGTGAAATAAAGTTGGCCAGTGCGTGTTTGAATAGTGATTTGCTCAAGCTCTAAATATTTTAATATTTTGAGATGCTGAATTTCTGATTTTCATACATCATCAAATTCAAAATAGAAAAAGGCTTAAAATATTTCCCTTTACATGTAGAATATATTACATTTTCTCTTTCCTAAAGAACACTTTTACACTTTTTCATGATGTTCTAATCTTTTTTGAGATGCATTAGTATTCACATTTGGAGCAAATACTGCCTGCGGGGACAGGCTTCCCTATGATTGTGGTTGTGTGTTCTGAACTAGACGGAGAGATGTTATTCACTCAGTATATATTCTGTGTGAATAGTGATTTGCTCGATCTCTACATGAAAAACTCAAATATTTTGAGGTACCAGATTTCTGATTTTCATGAGCTATAAGACGTAATCATCAAAATGAAAACATAAAAAGGCACTAAGATTTATGTTTGGAGCAGATACAACCTGCAGGGTCAGGCTTCCTCATGATAATAACATGATAATAACAATAAAAATTCACTCAAACTCCAATAATTTAAATATTGAGATACTGGATTTCAGCTTTCAGTGTTTCTTCAGGATCCAATGACTTAAAGCAATTTAAATAAACAAGTGTTTGCATATCTGGATCAGCAGTTCAGCATCCTGACAGCTTGTGGAATGAAGCTGTTGATAATTCTGGAGGTTCTTCCTGTAATGAAACGTTTGCCTGATGGCAGCAGCTCAAACAGTTTATGGACAGAGCGTAAGGAGTCCCTGACAATGTTCAGAGCCCTGGTTCTGCAGCAGCTCTGGAAAAGTTCTTGGACAGAGGTGAGGGAAACTCCGATGACCCTCTCAAATCCTCTAACTATCCTCTGCAGAGCTTTTCTATCTGACATACTGCAGCTGGAGTAGTCAGAATGCTCTCCACCACACCTCTGTAGAAAGTCCTGAGGATGCTGGCAGGGAGAGAGGCTTGTTTCAGCTTCCTCAGGAAATGTAATCTCTGCTGGGACCGGTTTGATGATCACTGCGGCGTTCTTATACATAATCATCAAAATGGAAACAAACAAAGAAAAAGGCTTGAAATATTGAACTTTAGATGCAGTGAGTCTAGAGCACAGTAAATGTTCACTTTCTTAAATAACTGATGTAAAATATCAAACTTTTGTGATTTATTTTGTCTGATGTATTTTTTCTGGGATGCATGACGATTCATGTTTGGAGCAGATACAACCTGCAGGGTCAGACTTCCTCATACTAATAGTGATAAGAATGATAATACTGATACTACTACTACTAATAATAATAATACTATTCCATAATAGTTCAACGATAAGAGCGATAAGACATAAACATTAGGAGCAGATAAAGTCTCCATGATAATAATGATAACACAGATACTGATACTCCTGCCATTACTACTAATAATGATAATATTAATTCACTCAAACTCCAATTATTCAAATATTCTAAGATGCTGGATTTCTGATTTTTACAAGATATAACCCATAATCATATAAATTAAAGCAGAAAGGGGAAAAAAAAAACACTTTACATGCAATGGGTGCAAAATATATTAAATTTGCATCTTTTAAAGTACCTGATGGACACTATAAAACGTTTTCGTGACGTTTTAACATATTTTTTAGATGCACTAGTTCTCATACAGTCTGTGGTTTCCATACTCGCAGCACCAGTCGCCCCAATGCTGGGATTTAATTGGCTGAAAGTTCAGAGGACGAACCCACCTTCCTCCGCCCCTCTGCCCGGACTGAGGGAGCAGCTCAGTCCGCCACAAGGAGACTTCTGGAGGCTCACTGACCAGCTTTGACACCGGCAGGTCACGGCAGGACAGAGGAAGCTGTCGGGGAGGTCAGTGGCTCATCTCACGGCTCTGTTTTTGTCTTCTTCTTTTTTTTTAAAGGCGCTCCATAACTTCCCAAAGACATGCTGCTAAGCTAACTCAACTAGCTGTCCTAACTAGCTAACCTAGCTAAGTTTAGCTTCCCTCTGGAGGCTCAGGAACTGATTTAATTATCTTGTTACTCGTAAAATGAGCTCAATGTGACCAGAGGTTGTGGTAAATAAAAGAAAATCGGTTGAAAGATGGCTGTTGTTGGCTAACTTATCATACTTCCTCTTTGAGGGTAAAGTTCACCAACCATAAAGTGGCAGAAATGACAGTTTTATGTTAAAACGCAGCTAAAAGAGGGAATTTCTGCAAATTCCTCTTATTCCACTGAGTGCTTCTTCTTTTTTTTTTTCAAGTACAACTGTGTCAGGCTCGTGATTCTTGTAGTAATGAACCAATATCATCTTGTGACCTTTCATCACAGGCTCACAAGTTCAACCGATCAGTGTTTTTCCTTTTTGTCCTTCTCAGATTATTTCATTTGGGGGATTTCAGTGGATAGAAAAAGAAATCTCATGGATTTCACAAGATAAAAATACAGATTTAATATCTCCTCCTATGCTGTTAATCATCCGGTGACCCCCTCAGATTCATCTTGGCACCACTTTAGGTCTCTGAACTCCATAAAATTTCACTGAAGTGTTTAAAATATCCCATTTTTCTGTTAATAAAATACTACATATGCGCAAACTAAAGTCCTCCTCCGTCAGTCCTCCTTTTTACCGATCTTTTGATGAGAATCTGCTGAGTTTTTGTTAGCTTGATGGTAAAAGACAGAAACAGATTTGTTCAAATCTGCTCTGAGATCTTTTGAGTAAAGCAAATAAACCAACAAATCTTAAGACAGCAACACATATTTGAGCTTCTCGTCCTTGAAGGTGGCGTTTGGCTTTACCTGCATGTAAAACTTAACAGATGCTGCAAATCGTTAATTCCATCTGCTATTCATCTTTAAATTCTTCACAGGTAGCAGTGCAGCATTAAATATAATGTGTGTGAGTGTGTAGATGCATATGTGTATATACGTCGTTGTGTGTTGCTGCTTCTTCGAATGAATTGCACAAAGAGGGATTCATAAAGTTGCTTTAATTGAATTGAATTCAACAGATAAAACCGTAAGAAGCAAGAGCCTTAACCTTAATCTTCCGTGGTTAATTTAGCGTCTCGCGGCTTTATCCACATCAGTCTCTCGCTCCTTCTTCTGCATGTCAGATCACAGACAGCTGGAACCTCTCCGAGTCACAGACGAGCATTGATTTCTCTTTTGTTTCAGCTCCAACGCCGTTTGCTATGGCAAGTGTCTCAACAGTTTCCTCAAGAGATTCCGGCAGTAATATCAAAGGTCACGCTGAGTTTTAGCTCCAAAGGAAGAGTAGTAGCTTTTCCTGAGAGGGTCTGATGTGGCACATCGCTGTGAGGATGTGACAGATAGGCCTTATCGTGCAATAGGAAAAGGCCGGATCGCATTTTTATGAGCGCTTTACTGGAATCAGTTGTCAGTGAGAAGATGATTTCCGAAAGTTTAAAAACTCGTCTAGTTTCTGTTGCGTAACTCGCCTCCTTCACAACACGCGCTGTGTCTCGGAAAATTATCTCGGGCTCATCTCACACTTGATATCAGAGTGCACAGTGTCAGACTTTGCTTTGTAACAAAAAAAAAAGTAGTGAATATCTCATCAGCTGCCGCTCAGAAGAAAAAAAAGAAAAAAAAAACATGTTGCTCAACCAAGCTGTTGCAATAAAACGCAATTTGCAATCACACAGAGCCCAGAGAGATCAACGCCACGAAGACATGGGAGGGGGTGTTTTATTCACTTTGACATCTCAACTGTGTGAAATGATTAAGCAGCAGCTCCGTATAGATGCCGTCCGCCGTTGCAACCAGCTTGTCTGTGAAGATTCTCAGTCATCCAGGTCATGGTGATTCTGGTAGATTAATCGTAGCAGCTGGACTTGCTTGAGTTCCTTGAAGACGTTTCACCTCTCGTCCAAGAGGCTTCATCAGTTCTGACTGACTGGCTTGTTTGTTGGACGTGAGGCTCGTCTCACCGTCGGCGCTTCCCTCTCCGTCAGGTGGATGCAGCCTAATAAGCTCGTACGTTTCCCTTCAAGCTGGCAACAGGTTACAGCTGGTCCTCGTGCTACCGCTGGATGCGTCTCAGGCAGCACCATCACAGGGGTCACATCCCTCTTTGACTCATCTGCCGCATACATCAGGGTAGGCATGTCAAACACTTGTTAACAGCGTTGCAGTTAAGACAGGTGGAGTCCATTTACGTCTCTGTGTGCCATCTGGTGGAACACAAACAGATGCCGTCCACATGTGGTGAGCACCAGAGGGAGAAGGGAAAGATCTTGCTGCCGAGGGTTCTTTCTGAACGGCTAATATGCCTCTTTCCTTTCATGTTTACAGACAGATGCAAGGCAGAGATGAGAAGAGAAAGGACCCTTAACTATCGAACTGAATAACCTCACTTGGGAATATTTAGTCCCACTGGGGGGTTCATTGCAAAACACACTGTAAAATATGATTCCATACTGTGGGAGCTATGGCTTAAATAATGGATGGAACGATGGATAGTATATTTTGCAGCAATGTGATGGGTACTTTATTCACTGTGGTAGTCAAAAACAGACATCCGATTACTTCATCCACAAGTACATTTTGGATCGAGTGCCCCGGTGGTTAAGGTGCACACCACATGACTCAAAACATCTGTGGTTTGCACCCCAGCGAGAGGGAGCTTTGTTGCATGTCATACCCCTCAGCAGATCATTAATCAATACTAAAAATAGCTAGCTGCAGTCTTGCATTACACACAGGTTGTCGTGACGGAGGCTTTTATCCATATCACTAATTCCCAGAAGTGACATGACAGACAAGCAGGAGGTGAACACTTTAGATTTATGTCTCCCAGCTTGTGCAAAGTTGACTTTATGCCATTTTTATATCACCATAAAGTTTCTACTCCCCGTTTCAAGGAAATGAGAAACTGTGTGTGTTATACGACTATTGATTGAGTAAATTGCGAGTGAATTTTACAGCTTTCTGTGGCCCAATTTAAAATTATTTGATATTCATTTGAGGCGATATTTCATCGTGATAATGAACACTTAGAGCTGCATTTCTTTTGAGTAATTATACGTCCTAGTTTTCATTGAAAGCAATATTTTACACCAGTAGGAGAACGGCATTGCTTTATTGTTTCACTTTAGATGACTAATACCAGAGGTCCGTTTCGCCCGCACGTCTGCAGGAGAGCTTGTGAACAATCAGTCTCCAGCATTAGTGCCCTGTGGGTCCATGGTTCCAACCATTATTCATGGTTTTCTTCAGACTTTAATATATAATTTTAAATTAGACCAACTCGTGTAGCCACAGAATTATTTCACAAGATTTATCATCTCTATTTTCATTTTATGTCGTGGTTATATTTACTCAGTTTTTAATTTCAGAGCAAGAAAAGTCTCACCAGGATGATTCAGTATCGTTTCAGGATGCTGTGCCCACACTTAGAATTTGAACTGTGGAGCTGAGACAGTTGTAAGTTCAAGTTTTTTATAAACTTAAAAGCAGAAGTCAGTCTAGTGAGTTTTCCTGTGAAGTTGCTGCCAACACTGATGTTAAAGCGTACCTTAACCACTATGAAAAGCTATAAAAAGTGTCAGCCGACTACACTGGATCTCTAAAATAAGATTCTGGCTTAAGGTTTTTCCTTGACACGCACAACTATCATTAAATGAACTGGAGTAAAATCTTGAAGTCAAAGTGTATTTTAAATGTATTACTCACACATGCTTATGCTACACCTTGATCTAAAAAACATTAGTCTCATTGATCTCTCTTTCATGAGCGGCTTAAAAAATGCACAAATACAGCCGTGGAAAGTCAACAAGAGAAATATTTGAATATATCAATATCCACTTTTTGACTTTAAACTCCGACATGCTGCAGAGACTTGAATTGTTTGCTCGGCTGCACTGTGTCATTTTTTTTTAAGTGCAGTTTCATCCTTGTTGCATCATGGAGTTGACAAATGAATTTAACATGGCTGAGGTGCCTTTCTGTGCGCATTAAACCATCTGGTAGGACAGCGATTTCTGCAAGATCAAGTAAATCAGCCATTTAAACAAAGAATATCAGAGAGGAAGCTGTATTTCATCATGCATACCAAGCAAAGTGAGGAAAATCTCTGTTTCTGACACTCTATTTCCCATGTCAGAGATTGAATCCAGCAGTCACAATGGCAGACAGCGGGAAGACTAATGAGACAGGAGCTGCAGCAGCAGAACCGGCTAATGGAGACCAGCAGGTGAAGAGCACTGTGACTCAGAAATGACACCTAACACAAAGCCGGGGCATATTATGAACTCATTTGACGTTTAGAATTTTCCCGTTTTGATAAGCTACTGTGGGAAATTATCATTATCCTTAATTGAATATTTGAACTTTATCAGTGCTGAAAAGAGCTAGACCAATGGGAACGTAAATCGCAATTATCAATGATAGCCTTTTCAGTGACAGTAATGGTTGTATTTTTTTTTTGTCCTAGACTGTCGTTTCGCGCGTGAGCAACTTGGCCTTGGTCAGCTCGGCCTGCGAGGTGGTTTCCAGCGCCTACACCAGCACCAAAGACAGCGTGCCCTTGCTGAAGGGAGTGATGGATGCAGCCGAGAGCGGGGTCCGAACCCTGGGAGCAGCTGCCACCACGGGGTCCAAACCTCTTTTGGACATTATAGAACCGCAGCGTAGGTTCTTCTCTCTGCAAAATATGATGCAACATAGGTGCAACGACAACACACAAATGCACAACATTGAAATATATCGTAATAGAATATTGCAGCCTTGTTGCACATTAAAGGTGTGAAACCGATGTCCAGTGCATTTGTTCCCTCCGGGCTGGATGACATGAAACATTTTTGTCTGGTGGAGTTAGCAGAGGATTACATTCATTATGTTAACGTTTAATCTTAGTCCTCTTTCATCGTGAGTCAATTCCATTTCTGTTGTGCAATTGTTGCAGTTGCTACAGTAAACGAGTATGCATTGAAGGGACTGGATAAGATGGAAGAAAAGCTGCCTATTCTTCACCAACCGGCAGACAAGGTCAGAGAGAACACCGTGCCGTTGTAATGTGATGTGATGCAGAAAATACATTTTAAACCCTCTTTTACTTGTGTTGTCATTAGCAGAGCTCTTTTCCTCTTGACCTTTTTTACTGCGTCTTTGGAATATTTAATTACATCCATGACCTTTATCGCACAAGTTCTTTCCCCCCGTTGATAGTGTGATAACTTTCCCGTCTCGAGACCCCTCAAACATGGTTCAGATCATTACCTAGTCTCCTAAATCAGTCCGTAAGTTGCACTGCACTCCAGGTAACCACAGCAACAGTGTTAACACTTCACAAAATGTGCACAGTTACCATTGGCCCTAGTTTAAAAATAACGTAGTGATCGCTGAACCTGATTGCAAAAAAATGTTTAAATTTAAGGCTAATTTGACCTGAGTCTCTTGTTTTTTCCACTTATATATTATATATGGTTATGATATCAGTTAGGTGTTAAATTCTGGGGTTTCAGGTGTCATAAAAATAGAAAACAAGCAACTTGATGGAGAGAAACTACACCCTAACCTCCACCTCGTCTTTGTTTTCTTCACCCTGCATCACTTTGTCTCAAATGTCATTTCTGTCAGTAGACTAAGATCTATGCAGAAAAATAACAGAACAGCTCAATCGCTCCTCTTCACACATGTCACATCATCTCCTCTTTTACTCCCTCAGGTGGTGTCAGACACAGTAGGTATGGTGTACCAGTCGGTGGCGGGGGCCAAGGATGCCGTAGTGGAGGCTGTGATGGGTGGCGTCGAGCTGACCCGGGCAGCAGTCAGCGGAGGTATCAGCACCGTCATGGGCACCAGGATGGGCCAGATGGTCAGCAGTGGGATGGGCCTGGCGCTCAGCCGATCCGAGGACTGGGTTGACCAGAACCTACCACTCACTGAGAGAGAGCTGGGTCAGTGGCTGTACTAAATATGGAAAACATAATCAGTCTTTAAAACCCCATATGTCTACTTCTGAGGTGTAGACAGGTGCGTTTTGACAGTCCGATCAAATGAAGCAAGATTTGATGAGACCATCCAAAAAGTGTTACCGTAAAGGTAAAACAAAGTGATCTGGAAAGAAAGAGAGTCCTGATAAAAGTGTGCTGCAATTCTTCAAAGTGACTGAAGTTGAACAAATGAATGGTTGATGCTATTCATAGAGAGAGGGGCAGGACATTCCAATGAACTTCCCTTCTGTTAACTTGGCCCACAAAGCACTGACAATTTCCAACACTCACAGCTTTGACACCTGCTACTGTGATGTCATGTTATCATGACAACCTGCCGTACTCCACTAAAGCAGCGATGCTCAAGAGGCCGCCCCCTGATTGTAGATATGAAAAATATGCCATTGCAACTGTGACACCAGCAGGAAAGTACCATCGCGGCAGTACTTTGCAAATTCTGGATTTGTTCAGTGATAATTGCTAAAGTGGCTTTTAACAGAGGCACAGTGAGAAAGTGTTCCGTCCCTTAGCTTCCACAGACTAATGACCAGAGGGAGGGAAGTAGCCCTCAAGACTCCTTTGTCTCTCTTGAGCAGATGTGCTTTAACAATGTTTGAGTCAAGTTGTCAAACTTGGAAACAGATGGACCACTCGGCTCAGCTCGATTGAATCAGTCATAACACGCTCACATGATGCAATAAAGATGCCACATATAGCGGCTTTGTGTTCCTTCAGATAACAGAAATGACTGATGTATGGCGCCTGTGAAAAGTATTCGTCGTACTTTGGAAGTTTCTCCTTTTGTTGCTGTTCAGTGTTGAATAATGGTCAGTGTGATTTGGCTATTTGACAAGAATTTACAGAAAAAAAAGACTAATGTCAAATTGAAAACAGATCTCTACAAAGTAATGCTAATTTCAAATATCAGAAGTTAAATAAGTGATTGCACCCTCGTTGAAAAGACTCCCGAAAGTCAACACAGGTGCAGCCAGTTGATGCTAGAAGTCACACAATCAGTGAAATGGAGTTCATCTGAGTGCAGTCATTATGTCTTAACTGACTCTAGTATAAAGACACCTGAATATGGAAGATCCAGTCAGTGGTGAATCAGTACTGCTGGCTATAACTACACCGTGCAGACCAAAGAACACTCAAAGTAACTCTGTGAAAAGATATTGAAAGGCATAAGTCAAGAAAATTTCCAAGTCACTGAAAATCCCTTAGAGTCCAGTTAAATCCATCATTAAAAATAGAAGAAATATGGCCCATGTGTGAATGTGTCTGGAGCAGACTGTCTTTAGAAATGCGTGACCGTGCAAAAAGGAGACTTGTGAGGGAGGCCACCAAGACACCAATGAGTCATCTGAAGGAGTGGAAAGCTTCAGCAGCTGAGATGGGAGATACTGCATACAGCCCAGGTTTTTGTACAGTCAAAGCTTTACGGTAGAATAGAGCTCATTTTAAATCTCGACTAGAGTTCACCAGAAGACATGAGAGAGTCTCAGAAGGTTCTTTGATCTGATTAGACCAAAATTGAGTTTTCTGTCCATTAGACTAGATCAGGGGTGTGCAATCCTGGTCTTCGAGGGCCACAATCCTGCATGTTTTACATGTTTCTCTCTTCCAACACACCTAATTCAAATGATCAGCTCATCATCAAGCTCTGCAGAAGCCTGATAACGATCCTGATCATTTGAATCAGGTGCATTGGAAGAGGGAAACATCTGAAACATGCAGGATTGTGGCCCTCGAGGACCAAGATTGCCCACCCCTGGACTAGATGCAGTTGTCTGGGGGACATCAAACACTTTGCATCACAACAAACGCACCGTCTCCACCTTGAAGCATGGAGGTGGCAGCAGGTCCCAGAAGGCTTCTGAGGGTAGAGGGTCAAATGTATGCAGCAAAGTATAGATTCATTCTGAAGAACAACCTGACAAGAGAACTGTGACTTGGGAGAAGATATGTTTTACCACAAGAAAATGACTTGAAGCATGCAGCCAGAGTTACATAGAAAGTGTTAACTGACAGTCCCTGAGCAACCGAACAGACCTCGAGCAGTTGTGCAAAGAAGAGCGGGGTAAAGTTGCAGCGTCTTGATGTGCAAGGCTGCTTGAGATCTATTCCTACAGGCTTACTGCTGTAATTGAGGCCAAAGGTACTAAATACTACTAAAAATCTGTTTTCACTTTGACATGAGGTAATCTTTTTTTGTGAATTCTTACCAAAATAAACCAAATTAAATTGAGTGTGATTCAACGCTGAAAAGCAATAAAAAGACTTCCAATGAGAGTGAATGCTTGTTATTGGCACTGGACTGTCTCCCTTTTCCAAGAGTTGGCAAAATCGTGTAACATACAGTCCTGTAATAACAGCTTGTGCTCACACCTAAATATGTAAAAACATATTGAAAATTCGACATCACCGACTACACAGAACATGTGATTTGAGTAAAAGTGAGATCTTTCTCTTTCAGCTGCTCTGGCTGAACCCACCAGCTCTGAGGTGGCCACCCCTTCGGCCAGCCCCAGCTACTTTGTCCGTTTGGGGAAACTCTCTGCCAAGGTACAGGAGCGAGCCCTACAGCAGTCCCTGGTCCGTGCACGACATGCCAGGGATGCCACCTATACTGCAGTGGCTCAGATTACCAGCACTCTGGACCTGCTAGAAAAGACTAGAACTGGTGTGGGCACAGCAAGCGACCAGATAGGAGGAGCCTCGGAGCAGCTGCAGCAGCGCTGGACAGAGTGGCAGCAGACGCAGGAAAGAACCGGACAGACCAAGTCAGAGCCAGATGGGACCAAAGATGAATCTGAGGTCAGGACTGAAGCATTTGGAAATGTAATAAGTGCTTTGTAATCAGATTATTCTTGAATCTACAGAATTTATATGGTAGGCTTCACATATGGAGCACTCAAGTCCCTTGAAATGCCACTTGAACAGCAAATCTCAGAGCATGAGAACATTTCTCTGAGAGGAAGAAAACACAACAATACATGCACAGGATGAGTGATGTTTAATAGTTTATTCAGAACTGAGACAGAGTGTGAAAATAATGTTCTCAGATCCCTGCAATAACTTCACACTCAGTCTCTTAGCCTAACTTTTGATTACAGTCTTTTATGGCCGTTATTTATTTGATTTATTCGTGTATCCAACGAATAATTTAAAACATTCTGATCTCTCACATCAGCTTTAGTATTATGATTTCTTATTAAGTATCTTTTAACATATTTTTATTGACTTCGTTATCACTTTTCCTCTTTTTATTTCTGGTGTCTCACTGTTATCCTGATTGCATATGAGCTGCCTTATTATCAGCCAGCTGTAAAGCAATTGGAATCCCCCTAGCTTGTGCAATAGGTGCAATACAAATAAAGTTGAATTGATTGATCGGTCTCAGGAGTGGAAGGGAATTGTAGAGGGAGGCATACGTTAATGTTTAACAAACATCATTTAAAATGTCTCCACAGCAGCTGGAACGACGGGCGCTCTCCATGGTGCGTGGTCTGAGCGACCAGCTGAGGTCAGCGTGCTCCAGTGTGGTTTCCAGTGCTCAGGGTCTGCCCGGTACGATCCAGGAGCAGCTGACCAGCGCACGGCGGTCCGCTGAAGAGCTGCAGTCCTCTCTGGGGAGCACCACCACCATCACACCCCTCCTTCTGGAGAGGAGCCGTCAGCACCTGAAACAAGTACTAATTGCACCGCGCCGTCTTCACTGCAGTGTTTTAATTTGCTGCATCAGCTCAGCTAAATATAGCTCAGCGCTTGAAGTTTTGTTTTCGCTTGTTCAATGTCATCACTTAACACAATTAGTCCTTCCATTAGCTTTTTATTGGAGCTGAAATAATCCTCGCATATTCTTGCTGAAGATGAGTTAAATGGAAAACTACCTCATTCTCCCGTTAATTCTTGAGGCTGTCTGCTCATTCACATGTTTTTTGATAGTCAAGTTCATGCTGTACTCAGCAGTGCACACACAGTACATGGCCTCACTATGTCACTTCTTAAAACCCACTTTTTTATCATCTGTTTTATTTGTTCATTTTATTCTTTTCTACCCTTTATTTATTTACATATATCTTTTTTATTTACTTGTATTAATTTAAAGCTTTACCCTCTATTTTCTTTTATTCCACTTCTTCTTTTTCTCTTAATTTGATATGGCATTTTTGGTGCTTTTATTATTTTATCTGGTTTTGTTGTATTGATTTATTTGTTAATCTTTTACTATATTTCTCCACTATTGCGTCTCTGGTCTTTTTTACCTTTGTGTTTGGCCTGATAAGCCTTGTGTTGTTCAGGGGTTTTCCTGACTTCCCTCCTTTTTGGCCTGTCTGTAAAGCATTTTGTAAACTTTGTAAAGTTATAAATATTATATGATCATTATTTCCTAGCCTCAGGCTTAGCATACTTATGAGACTGTTTTAAATGATTTGATTTGATTCTGGTTAAATAGTTGTGTTGAAGGTAACACTGTTATCCGTCTGTCCCAGGTTCAACAGTCTCTGGATGGTGTCATGGAGTATCTCCTGAACAACACACCGCTCAACTGGCTGGTGGGACCTTTTGCTCCTCAGAGGACTGAGAAGGCAGAAGGAGACGTGACAAAGGAGCCGGCTGCTCCGAAGAACTAGATCTAAAAACCTGCTGTGTTTCTCTGACGTATTTTGTGGTGTTGACAGGAGACTGATGTTTACTGTAGGTGGAACCACTTTAACAGTTTGCTTCATTTCAAGGTGCCTTAACATTAACATATTTATGTTTTCTTTATGATGCTTTAAAGTTTAACTCTTCTCACGCAGACGCCATTGATATTCAGTTATAACTAAAGAACCTGTGCTAAGGGTTGGCCAATTACCAATTGCTGAATCCAATATTCTGCATTTTTCTTAATATCTGAATTGTTTTTTTGTTTTTTTTAACTGATTCCTCATAAAATTATATTAAAATACACTGCTGTGGCTCTGATGCAGCTACCTCTATCCGTCTGGAGTTGCTCCGCTGTGGTCTCAAGCAACATCCTGTCCATAACACTATAGCTGATATGTCACAAGTACCAGCCTATCATCACTGAAAGACAAATCTTGAAAAGTTATTTTTGTAATTAAACATGCATAAAACAATAAGAAGCAAAGGCGGTTCAACAAAGACTTGTGCTGGAGTTTGTGTTATTTTAAAATTTGGATTTTTAGTTTAATTTTCACTGTAAATCTGTTCCAAGGATGCGTTCCAATATCCATAGAAAAGTCCAGAAAATAAGACATGTAGTGTCTGTAATGCAGTTTGCCAAAAATACCAGGATGTCTCGACTACATCCAGATTTTGCAGTTTGCAAACCAGCTTGTTTTTCTGGCCGTTCTGACCTGCAATCTTCTGCACAGTAGAGTCACAGCGTCTCCTGCGAGTATAAAGTTTGAGCAGCTGAGAGTGTACCAACAGATGACAGCTCATTCTCCACGACAGACTGCGGTGGTCAGAGTTTAAGAACAGCTCAGATACTGTTTATCGGTCTCTATGACTGCGAATAATTATTGGCCATGGAAAAAAAAAAAAAACATTGGTGGTCGACCCCCAACCTGTGTCCTTAGAGAATTTGTACATTTAAGTACTTTATTATTTATGCTGGAGGACATAAAAGGATTTTTTACATCTCTTGAAGAGGAAGTCATGTAATGCTTGACTTTTGTAAGTAAATATTTCAAAGCATTCCCAAAACTAAGCCAAATTTATGTTAGAAAAAAACACAAGAGGGTACATATGAATGAACTGTAGAGAGTTCATAGAACATTTCACTTGTTTTAAGATTTTAATTTCAGTGTTTTTGTGTCTGAACCTGGACAGATTAATGGAAGCTAAAGAACTTTCAATGAGGTGAATAAATTTCAAACTAAATTGTCTCTGAGTTTTGTTTTGGTTTTTTTTCCAAGTGTGGAGCCATTTAAAAAAAATAAATCTTTGATGAAAGTTGCCTTAACATTCCTGTAATCGTGTTTTATTCATGTTTTTACCAGTTAGAGCTCCAGTTAGTTGAAATTTTCACACCTCGATTATATTTTTTACTGCAAATGTCAGTTATTGGTCTCCTTGATTGCTGATAATTGGTACTGGATTGTAATAAAACATGTCGGTCGACCCCTGATTTGTTAGTTTGGGCACTTTATTATTTATGCTGGAAAACAAAGTGAAACATCCCAGTGTTACAAAGACTGAGCCAAACTGATGATGGCTTTAGACAGAATAGAAAATACATAAGAGATACATGGATTTCATAGATCATTTCATTTGTTTTCAAGTTTCAGTGGGGCTTTTCTCTGTCAGAACCTTGAAGAAGTTTCTATAGACCTGTCAATGAGCTGATATGTGAATATATTTTAGACAAAGCACAGTCTGACTTTTCTGTGTATTGTGTTAAGATTATGGGGCCATTAAAATATATATACTGTATTTGCTTTAATGAAAGGTGCCTTTACATTCATATAATCATGTTTTCTTCATGATGCTTTTAATGTGAAAAGCAGAATAGAGAAAATAAATTCAAGGGTACATTAAATGAGATGTAGAGCGTTCATAAAGCATTTAGTTTGTAATTTTAGTGTTTTTGTGTTTGGACTTTTATTGTTTATGGAAGTAGCTGAAGAACTGTGAAAGAGCAGAACAGATTTCCATCAGAGTGCAAATCAGTGGGTGTTTAGTGTCTGCTGTGTTTAGAGTGTAAGGTGTTGTACAGTAAGCATTTTATCGTTCTAAAAATGTTCTGAGAAAGTTCTGCAAAGTTTTAGTAATGTTTTCTTTTAGCTTGTAGAATGCTCTTCTTAAAGGGAGGATAAAGTTCTCTAAAGATATTCCTAAAATGTTCCCAAAACATTTGCCAAAAAGTTGCATTGAGAACATCCTTCCTTTATTATCTTTGTGAGGATGTTTTATATAGTGTGTCACCTCAACTATGTCCCCCAAACATCTTAAGAATGTTGCAGGCAAAACGTTTCACCTCGAGTCACGTGACAGGAAAACACTTTTTGTTCTGTGAATGGAGTCAATTTTAAAAATCCTCTATTTGCTTCGATGAAAGGTGTGCTAACATTTAAGTTTTCCACATGATGCTACCAATGTGTTGTGTTTAATGATATTCTAAATGTAATCATCAAGATTGTAATTCTTTCATTTTAAATCAGCCTCCTTAATGATGGAAGCAGCTAAAGTAAATTTAAGACAACGCACAATTTCATTTATTTTTATTTTGTTTTGTTTTATTTTATTTTTGCATTTGTTTATGATGTGTTTATGATGCGAGGTGTGAGTGTGGTTTTCTAAAGCAAGTTTTTTTGTCATTCTAAAATTGTTCTTAGAACGTTCTGGTAAGGTTTTTGGCTGGAAGTTTTCTTTTAGTTCCCAAAAGTGACACAGACTGTGCTTTGTCTGAAATGTATACACAGGCAGGCACCATAAACTTCTCTAAAGTCATTAAAATAAAAAGAAATAAAAAGTATGTCACCTTGTAGGACCACATTCTGTCTTCTGCGGCTTCAATAACATTTTGAAAACGTTTTTTTTAATGTTAGTTTTCTGTGTCATCCTCCAAACATCCTCTGAATGTTAAAAATTTAGTTCGCTTTTAACCTCATATGGACGTTATTTAAAAATGGTAACTCTGTTTAAAACGTTCTTGGAGCATTAGATGAGAATGTTTTGTATAGGAACCTCAGTAGAACCTGTAGGTAACGTTGTGGGAACGCTCCTGGCTGCTGCTGGACTTTGCTATGTTGGCTCGTCTCGCTGAAGCCTGAATCGATGCTGATGGTGACGTCATGGTCGTTGTTTCGAATGTCGGGAGCTCGCGCTGGGTAGGAGGCCGCGCGCTCTGCTGGGGACACAACTTGTACAAATCTGAAGCCCGAGGTCGTCGACAGCCCCCGGTACCGTGAATTTCAGGTACCGTCTTCGCCCTACACTGACACCGGGCACTCCCGCTGCGTGTTACCGATTTTAAAAGTTGCCAGGACGCTGTCGGGAAGCGCACTGGTTTGGGTTGGCTGATTATGCTAGCAAGTCGGCTAACGTTAGCCTGCTAACGCTAGCGTTTATTCGATTGAAAAGCCACGATTTGTTTATAGTTTGTCGCTAAGGACGCTGTGAGTTCTTAATATTCTCGATTTTCATCATGATGGAACACAGTCGGGCGAGTTTTGTCGTTGTTTTTGCGTTGGTATGCGGTGTCAGACAGACAAAACGTCCAGCCAGGCTGTTTGCTAATGTTACAGTGTTTGCTTTGAGCTATGCAAGCATAGGACGCCAATTGTTTTCTTCTGCGGACAAACTCAGACTGAGGGACAGTCAGCTGGAAGTTGTTCAGGCAGATTGTAAGCAACGTAGCGTTCACGATTGCCAAGCCATCGGTTAATGTGAGGGTTTCGGTAACGTTTTCGGGGTGCTTTTGTACAGACACGTCTTAAGCTTTTGTTCCTTTTTTGTTAACTTTGTCCTGACCAAAACATCTCGCTGTTGCGGCGGAAGAAAGCGCAGCCCAGCTGAGCTAGCTTGTGTTTTCGCAGACCCGTAACTTGCCTTTTACGGTGCAATTGTGTACGACTCTTTGTGCCTTTTGTTTTCGTTGCCGTTCACAGCTCTCCGCCTAGTTTTTGTGACAAACACGGCTTACTACTTCCAAAACTCCTGGCGCATCGCCCTCATGTTGCAGGAAGTGCAGTACATTATTAAGTTAACTGTTTTATTTGGTATTTATGTGCTTCAGTATTTTTGCCATTAATGTCAGACATTGTTTTTTTTTGTCTTTTATGTTGTTCTGAAAACAGAATTTAGAATCTGTTTTCGGTCTCGTGTGCCAAAGTCCAGCCAAAGTCCACTCCTGCTCTTGTGGCAGGACTGGACTTTGTCACTCGATTGTTGGTTGTTGGATTTAATTGTAGTTGATGAATTCACTTTAATTCCAGCTACAAAAATAACGACCCCATACTCCTTAGCTCACAAAGAAACTCACATTATTATTTTGTTTGCTCCACCTCTACTCTCATGCTGCAATGCCAGTCTCCAAGCTCTTTTAGCTAAGGATTTGAAAACTTTGTAATCAAATAGGGACTGCTCATCATTTTTGACTAACTTCTGCAACCCCATTTTCAGGAATATCCTCTCCCATCCCCCTTACCCCCTCTGTCAGAGCATGGCTCAGGAGACCAATCAGACGCAGGTGCCAATGCTTTGCACTATGGGATGCGGTTTCTATGGTAACCCCCGCACCAACGGCATGTGCTCGGTCTGCTACAAGGAACACCTGCAGAGACAACAGGGAGGGGGGCGATCCAGCCCCCCGGGAGAGAAAGGTAGGAAGATGGGAGAGACATGACCTACAAAAAAAAAAGCAGGGGTGTGCCGGATGTGGGTCTGTTAGATGAAAAAGACAGGAGCTCGGGATGAGGGGGGGTCACTCAAAAACTGTACAGGTATAGGGGGCGCTTGAATTTGCTAAAAGGGGTTGGAGAACAGAGGTAGCAGTAGCTGCCTACACTGTGGCATCAGAAAGCAAGAGAGTGACATCACCATCTGTTGTTCCACATGAATCCAATCTACATTTTATTGACGATAGAGAAACACAAATGGTTTGTAATGAGTTACTTGGAAAGGAATGGAAAGTAATCCATGTTAGGGGATAGAACAACATGTTATGTGTTTGTTTGTGGTATCAGACTGTTCTTTCCCCCCCACACACAGCTGCTACATCACCGGCAGGATCACCAGGGTCAGCTGGTGTGACTGTGGAGAGCACAACCTCAGAGCCCAGTACAGAGGTGGCAGGAACCCCACCTGAGGAACAAACAGCCAGGTGTGTTGACTGACAGCTCGGGCGTTTTCTCAGGTTGTTCCAAAGTAAATAAAAACAATTGATAAAGGTGGATTGGTAATTTCAATGTTGTTTATAAGTTACATTTAAAAAACAACATTCCAGTAATTGTAGAATGTTTTTTAGGAAGCAGGTCAGGTTAAAAAAAGAAAGAATATTTGTCAAAAAAGTGGTTCTTCAATCTGTCCCATCAGTTCAAATTAGTACAACAGCTCTGTAGAACTCAGACAAAGTAAAAGATCTGTACTTAAATAGCGCTTTTCTACCTTAGTGGTGCTCAAAGTGCTTTACAATGTTTTCTCATTCACCCTCATCCATAGTAAGCTGCTGTGTATACATTTAAATCCTTACTTTTCAAATCACAACCATTCAACCATTGAAGATTCTGGTAACAAATGATGCACAACTCAAACATTTCTAACTTCATCTGATGACTCTGAGCTCTCTGGTAAGAAGGCTCTGCCAGCTATTACACATTATCAACCGATGTTAAGGACTGCATACTTAAGATATCTTCATACAATTTGCTATACCTTCACCACATTTAAAGGCCAGTTTATGCTCGCAGGGAAGTGAAGTACAACCTCCTATTTGTTAATGAAGTTAGAATTAAGCCATATTATGTGGCTCTGTTGTCTTTGACACTGAGAGAATGAGCTAAAGAGTGCTGTAGCTTAAAAACCTGCTCGAGGGCCTGCTTTTAAAAACCGTAGCATAATGTTGGATAAATGTTCCAGTGTGATGGGTGAGGAAAGCAGTTGAACATGGCCGCAGCTCAGACTCCCGCGGGGCTGTTAAATTGTTAAAATGTATTTTTGTATTACAATATGTGCGGTTTGTACTGAGTTTTGTCGTAGATCAGACTGTCAGTTGCTGGAAAGAAGCCACACAAACGAGGACCATAAAGCAGGAAAGCATCTAAAGAAAGGGAAATCACATACAAGTATAGAGACTTTAATGTTTATGCTGTAGTAGAATATATGACCTTTGCTTGAGTTTCATGGAAAACACAAATTACTCACATTATAATGCAACCAGTTGTCAGAGAAGTGCTCCCAGTAATGGCTTTATTTCTCCCAGGATGTCTCAAGGCAGTTATGCGTTCATGTTATGATGACATTTTGGCGTTACTGTTAGTGTCTGATCGGTGCGTAGTGAAGTAGTACATAGTTGTTTTCTATGTTTATGTGCTTTCCAGTGTTTTAAGGCCCTCTCTTCATGTAGTGGTTTCTGTCTCGTCAAAGTAGTTTAAAGAGCATGTCGAAACAGGTTAGAAGAATTAGTAGTTAATCAAAATAAACTTGTGGTATTTGTGCTGTTTTTGTCATCAGATTTCATCATATAGATACCAAATAGTTCATTCTGAGATGCAGCGAGACCATCCAGACTGTCAGTGATATTAAGAAGGCTGCCATTAGTTTGTAATATAACAAAATATACAACCATCTTTTTGCCATAAATGTAGTAGCAGATTAATGAAATCATTTTTATTTCTCTGTTTTTTTTTTTTTTTAATGTAGAAGAAGGTCTAAAAATGTATGCATTCGCTCTTGTTGTAATTTTAGTCCCAGCTCTCCCAGCCCAGTAACTCAACAGATGACAGCTATGAGCATCTCCCAGGATTCGGGAGCTGTAGATTCTGATCGAGCGGAGGCCGAGGAGGGAGAAGAGGAGGGTACTTCCAACAGCTCAGGTAAACAACATAGAGAGCACTGCTTTCTCCAACTGTATCCCTTCCCACCATCCACATTTAGTGAGTCACACTCAAAGGTGTGGAGGGCACAATTTAATACGGTCCACAGTGTGAGTCTTAAAACAATAAAAATGTTCTCTGTGTTCTCCATTGTCCCCCCCCCCCTTTTTTTATTTTATCAAACCTCCATGTTTTGTAATCGGTCTTTCCATTTTGTGAAATAACAGCCTGAGGAGTTGTACGTGATTAAAATGATTTTTAATGATAAAACTTCAATTGGTATGATCTTTCTCCACTCTCGAGCATGAGTGATTCTATTTAAGGATATTAGTTAAGTCAGAGAATCTGCTGTTAAAGGGATTTTTTTTGTCCGCTTCCACATCACACTGATTCGGATGGATCCTAATATTACATTCACTTCTGTCTTCCACTTTTATATTCCATGTATAAATGAAAAGGGTGACTGGAATGGGATCTGAAAATTTAGATTTTTTTTTTTTTAAACCAACAGCAACTCAAGCTATTTTATAGCATTTCTCTAATGTGCGATTGATGAATTTTCTCTTTAGATTGACTCGTAAATCTATAAAATATTTTTCCCAATAGCTAAATTAATGATCATCGCACTTTGTACCTTCCATCACTTCAAGGTTTTCTTATGATTAGCTTTAGTATTTGACCTCTGCGTTTATATAGATAAAAATACATCATGACTTGTTTTCTTTTTCCTGCCTTTTCCCATCCAGAACCAGTGGGGGAAGCAGCACAGGCTTCGTCTGATGGTGACCAAACTCCTGATAAAAACAAGAAAAAGAACCGCTGCTTTTCTTGCCGGAAGAAAGTGGGCCTTACTGGTGAGTAACAAAAGAATCTCGCACACATAAACGCTGAACAGTGAGCTCTTCTTAGCTGCTGAGGAGGGCTCGTGAGTCATGAATCTGGTTTGTTGGGATTCTCCGCTCCTCGCTTGACACTTATAACCTGACAGAGTTTGAAATTTGTGTAACACACACACACAGGGAATGTGGTTTCTAAAGATCTCTTGTCTCACGGGAAAGTCACCAAGTGTTTGTTTGATGGTACAATTTCAAAGAAATCTTTTCATTTTCCATCTACATTTCTTCTGAGACTGACATTTCCAAAAACAAATGACAGTTGCACACAAATTTCCCACTACGCTTTGACTCCCATGTAGACGTGGCTAGTAATGCTTTCTCTACTTAGAAATCTACAAAAATATATGTTCTTGCCAGACCTTTTTCGAATTTGAATGACATAATTAATACTTTTATTTCATTACACATGCCTCCGTTCTTATGTGACTCTCTCACCTTCTGCCCTGATGCCAAAATCTGTAAATGTCTAAATGTCAACAGGCTGAATTCGAGCTTCCCGAGTTATTGTTCAAATTAGAAGTTAATGATAACCTATTGTTATTCTCAAGGGCTTAACGAGATCAAACGCCTGTCACCTTCACATCCAAAGTATCACCTCCAGCTCATAGTTTGTGTGATGTCTTCCTTCCACAAGCAAATACTTTGGTACAGAGAGCAACATACTGCAGGATAGTGGTGCATTTCACAGTGTACTGCTTGGCTTCCACTTTTTGGCCAAACAGAACAGAAAAAGGAGGCACAGGAGGCATTTTTGGGGGTAATGGTAATAATCCTAGCCTAATCTTGACTAAATCCTGCGTTACAGAGTTTTACTTATGTCCTTGTTAACTTTTAAATGGTAGATAGTGCTCCAATAATATTTAAAATTCACAATTTGAAACCAATTATTAATATAAAACCCAGACTATGATCTTGGGCGTGCAACAAACGGGAATCTTTCAGTCCGTAGAGGTCAGTGAAACAGTACATCTCTGCAATAACTAGTGTGCAGTTGCTAAATGATGGTTACAGTAACACTTCTGTGTCTGACGGACCTGTTTGCTTCTCTTCACCAAAGGTTTTGACTGTCGCTGCGGCAACCTGTTCTGTGCCATTCACCGTTACTCTGACAAACACGACTGTCCCTACGACTACCGGAGTGCAGCTGCTGCCCGCATACGCAAGGAGAACCCCATCGTGGTGGCCGAGAAAATCCAGAAGTTATGAGGACTGAGTGCGAAAAGAGAAAAAAAAAGAAAAAAAAAGTCTCTTCTGACTTTGTGAATTTGAACAATGGCGACTTGGATGAAAACACCTGATATCATGGCTTCATTTGTTCATGGTAGTCTGAGGCGGGCGGGGTGGGGTGGTATGGTCGCAGCCACAGTCCAGACACTTCCCTTACTAGCATCTCCCTCTCTCTCCGCTAGTGACTGCAGCCGAACCCGAGTGTTTCTGTAAGTGAGTGTGTGTTTGTATGAAAGAGTGTGTGTGTGTGTGTGTGCATTTGCTCGAGAGTCGGGGAGAGAGCCGTAGGGGCTTGGCGGACATTTGCGTTGCCGTGGGGAGGGAAGGCATTTGATTTTTTTTTTTTTTTTTACCCCTTTTTGTTTCTCAACTTGAGGGGATCGTGTGAGTTTATTTTTATACAGTCCCTGTAGGTTGTTGAAATTAAAACAGGGATAAGCTGTTAAGGAATGTGTCGCAGCCTGCATAATGACACAGAGGAATATTTAGAGGGTCTAGTGAGTTACGAGAAAAAAAAAAATCTAACTGGGTGATTTCATGTATCAGCAAGACCTTTTTAAGGGCTTTGGAATATAAAATTTTCTCCCAGACTGAAAAATGATGTCAACTTCCTGTCAAATTGGCATTTTATTTTCTTCCCAACTCCCTTGCTCTATGGGTCACCTCACATTGAACTCCAAAGTCTCTGCATTTTCCAGATATGTCTCTCTTTGATATATTGACTTATACGGATAGTGGGTGCATGAACAGTTATTGGAAGGGGTAGGCAGGGGAGGGACGGGGGGAAGGGGGGAACCGAAAACCTTGACTTAACTGAGTGATTGAATTCTGTGTTTTGTTTTGTTTATTTTTTTTTTTCTTTCTGTTTTAATGAGCGTATGACATCAGAAGATCTATATTAATATATTGTAGTTAGCTTGAATTGTGTGATTGCATTCTATTTATTTTTTATCGTTTGGTTGGTCTGTGCTGGAGGATTGGCAGCATGTGTCAGCAAATCGTGAAGATTTGCACTTAACCTTTTCAATTATGTTTAAGTAATTCCATCTTGATTATATAACCATTGAAGAAAAAAAAAATACACAAAGCTCTGACATGATGGAGTAGAGTCCAGTTAAACCGTTACAATTAAGATTGTGCCGTAAGATGTCCATTGTTTTGGATTTGGAAACGAAGCACAACAACGTGTGTCAACTGCAGAGCACAAACTTAACGTGCCACACCTACTCAGTTTTGTTCAGCATCCGGGTCATTTGCAGTTTCTATTTGAGCCGTGTTGCGGGCTCGCCGAGGATGTTGCCTTGTTCGATTGATGAGATGATTGATAACGTTTTATTGAGGCGACGTGCTCTTCTTGAATGCCCTTTTTATGTTGTTTGGAGTCAAGAGTGGAGCTCCATGTTTCTCTAACCACCAGCAGACCACTGACACATGCTGAATGAAAACTGACCTGGGTCGCAGTTACTCTACACATAGTGACACACCGTTCTGCTCAGCTAAAGTGAAGATTGTCGCAATTGCTGCGGAGTTGCGTGCTGTGCTTTTACAATGTGCTCCGATTCAGGCGAGTCCTAAACGCGAAGACCGCTTCTAGCTAGCTTCTTCTAGGAAGATCAAACTTACATGCATGTGTGCAGTCGAGCATATGAGTTACTTGTTTTGTAAGCGACTGCGCAGTTTGAAACGAAGCTGGAATGTTTAAAAAGCCACACAGCAGTAGCACAATGCATGGCTGGAACCTTGAGGTTCAAGTTAACAGGACTCTACAGTTTTTTTTTTTTTTTTTCCAAATGTAAATACCATATGGCTCCTATTCATATAGTATAATCTTAATGTAGATTTTTGCCAGGTAATAAAGGTGGGGGATTAAGGTGAAGAATAGTACTATGTGTATTAAAGTGCTTTTCATAATTATCCAAAAAAAAAAAATGAAAGTGCCACAACTGGCGCTGATATTTTCCCCATCTTGTTTTCCCCCCTTTTTATTTACAAGTTATTACATATAAAGTATTTTTCAATAACTGGCTCTACCACGAGTATCTCCCACAGGCCATGTGGCTCCTATTTTACAATACTAGTCGGATTGTTAACAAGCCCCTTTAAGCTTTATTAACGTTGCTGAATCACACAGTATCCCCAGTTTCATGCTTTTATCCTGTTACTGAAGTCGTTTTCATAGCATTGCGATATTACTGAGAGTTAAAAAAAAAAAAAAGGCCTCTTGTGAGACATCGAGGGGCAATTGAGGTTTCATCTTTTCATTATTAAAAGATTTCCCTGTAAATGTTGCTTGATCTCCATCGTTAAATATTTATGAAAGAGCTGCGGAAGAGTTGCAAGGAATTCGCAGGGGTGAGCATTTTTCAAAATAAGACCCAACGCAGAAACGTGTTGGAATGAAGCTTTTTTTTTTTTTTTTTTCCTCGTGTACACAGAATATCACGTTGGACCTGAGTGAGTTTGGCTCCTTTTGATTGGAAAATTGGCCTTCATCAGAATTCCCGTTTGAGTCTTTGTGTTGGGCCGGCGTGCCAACATTCAGACTGTTTAACTGGGATGGGTTGGGTCATCTATAGCGACTGTGATGTAATTTCTTCCTCCACCTCACCTCTAGTGGGAAAAATTGAAATTCAGAAGGAGTTTTATCTCGAGTGGTGAAGAATATTTTGTCATATTCAGGGGGACTTGTGGTTGGTGCTGCTCTGCGGTTTGGTGTATGTTCTATATACAGAATTCTCAGACTTTGCCGGCTCGACGACCATTACGAGATATTGTTGCATACAGAACAGTTGTCCTTGACAGATCCTTTCATAGAAGTCTTTTACTTCGGATGATTGTTCAGCTGCGTGAATCGAGGGGATTTCATGGTTTATACTTGTTTTCTATTGACTGCTCATATCAGTGTTCCAACCCTTTCAACCTTTGTTTCTTTCTTAATAACCATGAGCAGTTTGAATGTAAACCACCATAATTCACACAACAATGTCGTTTTTATCACACTACTGGCCCTGATACAGACCGTCTTTGGCCAGAAGATGGAAGACCAGTTGTCTTATGCGTGATTTGGGACAGTTTGATCGGTATAATAGGTTTGACTGTTTGAGACTTGCCACCAGCAATTAGGGCTACCGTACCTAAATGATTTAGATATTATCAGTACATCCACATTTTTCTGACTTCTGTGGCATTGATAATGTTTTGATGTCTTCAATCTTGTCTCTAGCACAGCCTCTTCATAATCAGCGTCTTCATCGTGCAAAAGGTTTTCGATCGACGATGATGATGATAAACCTGCGAGTTGTGATGAATCTTGTTCAAAGTTTTAGCTTCGCTGCAGAAGTAAAGACAAACGAAGACGACTTTCTGTCTTTTCAAGATGAGCTTTAGGGACATCAAATGAAACCTACAATGTTCACAGAGATGTAGTTCCTTGTCCCTTGGCACTCCAGTCCCCCAGAAACACCACCAGATATCTTTTTATTTTGTTTTCGTTTTTTTTTTTTCTTTTCTTTTTTTTTTTTTNTTTTTTTTTTTTTCTTTAAAGAGTTAGGATTGTATGATGTGTAAGAGTAAGTATAAAACAATAAAATCACAAAGTTTATTTTAAATTACACTTGTCTTTTGTATTTATTTGTTTTGTGGTAAAAAGAAATGCTGAATATCTTTAAGTCATACATGTCATTTCACACACTGATGGCTTCTTTGCTGCTCTGGACCACCAGCACATGTGTTCTGTGGCCCCTCTGCTTTTGTGCTTGTATATTGTCCTCAGACTCAGCAAAACACTGCAGGCACAAACGGCACTAGACAATAGCACATACAGTGCTTCAGTGTATGCTGTTGTTGCCATGACGGCGGCCACTTAATGGCACTAATTTCTGTACACTTGTTCTTTATTATTTGTACATCACAATTAAGTGATTTATTTTTTTCATCAAAGCATCACATCACACGCTCCTAATAAGTATTAAATCGTCCCACTTGCGTGTCTCATCCCAGCGTTTGGTCTCATTTAATCAAGAAAGCACATTAAAAGTGGGAATCTTGAATAGAAAATAAAAAATCTACACCCATTAATGCTGAACTTTAAAAAAGCCCCTGCACTTACTCCACTGGCATCAGCTGTAGCCGTGTGATTCATTTCTTTACACAAGGTACAATAATTAGCCCCTGGACACCTAGAGTCCACCCACACACATTTTCACTTAACTGGCCTGATTAGAGCTCCTCTCTGGATCCCGTGGGCCTTGCACAGACGGTGCCTGATAGACCTTTTTACAGGGCAGACATTTAGACTTTTTTTTATAGCAGCAGAAGCACAGGTGAGATGAGTAAGATTACTAGCGGTTCAGCTGAGTCTCCCAGTAAGTGATTCCAGCGGGCTGGCGGGAATGGAATACAGCCGTCGCTGATGCTATGAAATATCACGTAGCTGTCCTGCTGTGACGTGTACAAATGTCTACAGTGATAAAGATAAGATAAGCTTTATTGATCCCCGTCAGAGAAATTTACATGTTACAGCAGCTAGATGCAGATAAGGCATGAAAGAAGCAGGGCGAGAATTACAATGAGGCTAAAATAAGGATATAATGGAAGACAATGCACATCTTTCACAAGCACAGGTAATTAATTTACACGTGGATATGCACACGCACAGCATGATGAATTTACATGTGTATTTGTACAGATATGGCATGATGGATAATGTACCCAAGCTGAAGGACACAGTGCAGAATTGTTCTTTTCCAGAGAACAGCAGCGCGGACATTTCTGTTGTTGCAGCCACAACGTTATTGAGAGAAAAAGACCAGCTCTTTTGTTATCTTTTGAAATTTCCTCGAGTAGATATTTTTACTTTTCTGACCTCAGAAAACTCTCCATTCATCACCGTTTGCAATTTAAACTTGATGTATTTTCTTTGGAAGAAATAGGTCCTATGAAAAAGTGTTGATTATTCTGAGAGTTGATCAAAAGCTTCAGACTGGGAAAATTGCTGATAACATAATTTAGATGTAACTTTTGAATTCCCTCTCTGGTTGTTTATTTAACCTCTAGAAGACTAAACTCCGTGCATCGAAGTTACATATTTAGATTTTTTTCCCCTCATGAAAATCATCCCTTTCTGCCGTATAAAAAAAAATCTTAAATCTAATTCTACATCATTGCTTTATTTAGAATGAGCTGATTTATGAGGTATCTGCCCACTCATTGCAACTTGAGCGCACTGCTTACCTACAGCTCTACTTAAACACTGAGCTACACAATGACAAGCTGTGATATTGGAGTAAGTTCAGCCACAGATGTTCAAGCAGGAAACCAACTTTGAAAAAGGAAGAATGATACAGACAGCCT